CTAACTGCCAACGAAGACATAGATGCGGATGTAACAAAAAAAGATGAGTACAGATGAGATGAAGATGCTGATTGTTTTTTATTACGAGTATTATTGTATTAAATGTCCTATTTTGGTAATGACATGATTGATGCTCTTTAAAGAAAAGGTCGTTACTTCTAATAAAGAGCTGTTAAGTTTATTTTTTCGTCTTGTTAGCCAAAAGACGCCTTGAACAATTGGTGGGGAAATATGTTAGAATGATACAAAAGTCCTTGTAATAATTAGCTTATTCGAATACTGAGTTTTTCATTAATTCTTTCTACTGAGATGCGCTTATCACATAACATAGTTCACACACACTATACAGTTGTCTTATGGCCAGCTCTTCTTTGTTAACCGATTTCAAAATCGAAAAGGAGGATGTTATATTTTCGACGGTGATGTATTCTTTTTTTTTTATTCGACAGCTTGATTGATCGAGATGGTTCCATTTAATCTTTATCGATACCGAATAAGTCGTTTTCCTTTTATAACAAAACAAAATAGACTTTCTGATGGATATCACATAAATATTAAGATGGTTTGTTAATGACATGGCCCATTTCAGCTAAAAAACAAAAGATTGCATATTTTGGAGTCATTCAAAATCTGAAAGGAGGATTTTCTATGTTCAACGAGTATTTACATTTGTTCCATAAGAAGTCAAATATATCAGTCCTAATAAAGATATAAAGATACAAAATAGTTGTTCTTCTGTCGTTATTTGCGTATACTATGATTGTATGTTGTTAACTTGCGAACATGCGTTATATTGTGCTGTGTATGCGTTCGTGGGGAGGGGAGAGAAAGGGAGCGGCAGCGAAATCTGATTTTTTTTCTGAGTAGTAGCACACTCTTAAGCGACAATATTAATTTGTAGAAAGATATTCAAACGGACCAATAGTAATATCGAAATGATAAGTTTAAATGTTACAATTTTTATTTGTACCTTAATCATTTATAGTTACAGAAATTTAAATTTGCAGTATATTCTTATATTATTCTTTCATTAATTTCCTCAGAGGAAACGCAGTGCTGTCATAGCAGAGGATCAATTAAGTAAAACCGACCGCAAAAGGCACTAAAGGATTTATTTCATAGAAGCTCCATGACGTGCCAGCGCTGCGCTTAACGACGAGTTAGATGCTGATTTTTTACAGAATAGCATAGTTGATGTGAAACTCTATTCGATCTATATACAGAATGTAGAATAACTGTCACCCGCCTTTTGCCCGTTTGCCCGAAAGAAAATAACCAAGAGATTTTTCGAGATAATATCTACTCCGAAAAAAATCATATCATAACCGCCATCCATTACGACATGAAACAATAGACAAATAAAGAAACTTTCCCATTTATATTATTAATATAAGTGAAGGAATGCTATTAGTTTGTTCCGAATTTCATTTATTGCTGGCGTGTTAACGTGTTTATCTTAATATCAATTTCTTCAGTCCTTGCTGCCACTGGTATTAATTGTACATGTGGATAAAGAATCATGTCCAATTTTGACCTAAAATTTACTAACGTGTCAAAATGTAGCTCCTTTTTTACTTATTTCATATCAGGAAAATAAATCTTAAAATAAAGTCAGGATAAAAAATGCAAGGCTTATATTATTATTTTTAAATAGTAGTATGATAACTACCCATATGCGATAAGGACCCTAAAATTAGGGTTTGCTTCACTACCTTAATGCGATTTGAACCCAATGACAGTTTGGTACGTTTCGTATCATGTAATACGAAAAAAACATTCTTTCATAATATGGTAAATAAGTGCGCATTGACAATAACATTTAAATCTATTTCCATATTTACAAGTCAAACCTTAAAAAGTTTAGATTTTAATGAATAAATTTTTAAAGTAGCAATTATCTCGAGTTTTGACAGTTGATCGACGGATCTCCCTGGCCTTTAGATGAAAAGAAGCTAAGATATTATTCTAATTTTAAGCCAAAACTAATTTAAATTATCGTCAACGGTAGGTAGACGCGACCTTTAATAAAAACGTGTGTCAGGTCAATCAAGGTATGGAAAATGGACATTATTATTTTACATTCCAACTTTTTAGGGCCAAACCAAATGTGCTTACATTTCGAAATGTTGTGGCGTCAGTATATCCGGATAGCCCGGAGCGGTTAAGGTCACGGGTAGGGACAGGAGAGGGAAGGGCGAAAACTGAAGGGGGAATCATAATGAAATGAAAGGATCCCGAGGGTGACGGAAGTTTGGATTGAGTTGGAGTACCCGCCAATAGCCGCTCGAGTCACTCTAACAGTTGTTCTAGTGTCTCGATGATTAAGTTAATGAATCACCTTTGGATTACTTAAGATCAATCGTTTCGGATAACGAATAAGTGAAGTTCTTGTTGCAATATTGTTCTAAAGCTCATTAAAATCTATTTTTGTAAATCTGAATTTCGAATTGAATTCAATTTGAATTTAAATGGTGATAATGAGTTAAAATTATTTTCACTTATATCACACAAAAAGCAGAGTTGATAAAATATCAAAATATGAATTAAACTGAGCGAAACACTGGATTCTGGCGAAATCCACAAAGGCAACGCCATTAATTAAAAAGAAGAACAAGAAACTTTGAAAATTTTCCCGCGATTTGGCCTATGTAATTTATAGTCTATGTCACCCACGTATGACGAAGCTTCCCGTAGGTATCAGGATTTTTAAAATCGGTCCAGTAGTTTGGAGCCTATTGAATTCAATGCAAACGAACAAACAAATCTTTCATCTGTTGTTTTTTTTTTCAATTACCTATCTTAAATCCTATGGTATACAATAAAGATATCGAGCGTTGAAGTGCAAGTGTCACGTTACGTGACTTTGGTAAAAAAATTTAACGGTGAATATGCAAAATTAACCGATCGACACGTGATGGCATTTTGCCGATTTCAGAATCAAAATCAAAATAACTTTATTATTGTGTATTTGTCTTTTGCCACGTTCGTTTTTCTAGATCCATATTATAGCGCTGAAATGAAGTTACAACATGTGTAGTCGTCACTTAGGCCTTCCGCCCGAAGGATTTTATTGACTTTCGGAAAGCTCTAATGGTAGTCCGGTGGACTTCATGGAAGCTTTGAATCTCTTTATTCATAACGATTTGTTTGAATTTTTTTATTTGGAGTCTTTGAATAAATATGTGTTTAAGTAAAAGAAAACAACTTTGGACGTATATACGTTGAAAACAATGCATGTTCGACGACCTATCTAGAATTAATTTTCTATTGTTCTCTATCCCAATATCAATATTTTTTCTTATCTATACCTGACCTCTGATGGTTGGTGATTGTGACCATCAGACAGAATTTATCTAAATAAAAAAAAAAAATCTTAACGCTGATAATGAATGTTGCTAATTAATAAAGGGATAAACTTAATTTATATTTATTTCGTCTTGTTTATATATAAAGTGTATAAGACCTCTAAAATGTCAATGTTAAAAGCAAACCTAACCTTAGTTTTTGCGAGCATTTTATATAGCTGTCATGTCTGAAGTGGTGTGGGTACATTGAATAACATAGTGGGGTGACCCGAATATGTCTACTTACAAGGGTATGTGTGTCCTGTGAATTTGAATAATAATAAATCCGCGGGCGCAGTACGTGATGGAAATGGAATCTGTGGCGGAGGAATTTCTTATTTCTGTAAGCTTATGAGTGTAACTCTGATAAATTACTCTCCGGTCCCGACAATCTTATTAAAGAAGCATTAATAGGATTGTCGGAAAATTAAATGTATGTCAAAGATGTTTTTAAAGAAACGTGTTTTTAAGAAGTACGGTTTGCTTTCTTTCAATTCCTAATTAGAAGGTTAAATATCTAAATTGTAATGGAATTGCGTGTAATGATCTATCATACTATTCAGTTTGAGTTAAGGCTAGTTAGTTCAACACAATGTTTGTATTTACTACAACACAGTGTGTGGTATCTCAGGTGAACAGAATTAAAGTTGGGAGAACTGATCACAAGTTTGTGATGTCTCAATGTTCATACCGAAGCTAGTACGTTACTCGTTGGATTGTTTCATTAAACGGATTCCTTAAGAGTTAGTGATAAATTGAGTTTAAAGTTTGCTACCATGGGGATTTACGCAGCTGCTATTAAAACATTATTACACGACACTAACTTAGTTACTTGAAGATAATAAATAGTGTTTATTCAAACTAGCCTAACGTAATCTGCAGAAATATGCATTTACCGAATTACGTACATTAAAATGTTCTTTCAGAAATTTTAGGAATAATATTGCAATAATCTCTAAAACTATATTTTTGATCGGTGCATATAATTTTCTTCCATAGTTCTCACTCGGCTGCAGCAACATTCGCCTCTATCATCACTCATGTTGTCTTTACAATGCACACAATTCTTGGGTCTATCTCATTATATCTCCAGATTCAAAATCATATTCAAATATATTTTCTCTTATCATAACTCTTTTTGTAACATTGATTATATCACACTGTATTTATTTATTAGCCACACGCTACCAGAAGTCTAGTAGCTCGTTTTATTAAACGAATTCTTCCTACTTGTCTGCTGTCGATTGGAAAATTCCCCGAGCGGCCAACGAATTCGATTATGCCTGTCCTGTGCCTGTCTAGTTTGCTTGTTGTCTTGTAATGAAATGTGGCCGTTGCTGTAATTGTTTTATTTTTTCTTAGATCTGGAGATTACGCCACTTAAACCCCTGGAGAATTGGCTATTCAATGAGCATGATTCATCGAGACTAATGGTTGTCGTAGTTGGAATGGAGCTAATTAGACTAACGATGATTCTTGCTACATATTTAAAGACTATTGTTTTTCGTATTCATTCTCAGATGATAGAATTTCATAGATAGTTGGTTCTTTTTAATATAAATAAAGGTTACTTTTACTTAATTATTTTTGGTTTCAACTTTAATCCATTTGTATAATTTTATCCACTTTTGACTTAATTTTGTTTTTTTTTTTCAGATGTTTGGTATCAAAACTATTTGACGTCTGCTCTAAATCAACCCCGGAACAAATGGAACACTTAGAAGAAATCAGGATACCGTGGGGCAGTGGCATTGTCGGCTATGTGGCCGAAAGCGGAGAGCCAGTGAACATCCCCGATGCGTATAAAGTGAGTAAAATTATGAAAAATTTAAGATTTTTTTTTGAACATTGTAGGCGGTAAACATCGATTAATTTATAGTTGAATGATTCTGCGATAAAACGATATTAAACAAAAGGTTTCTTAAAAACTAGTTTACACTTACGGTGTTTTGAAATTTTGTTTCCATAATTTTCGAGTGACCTTGCCAGCTCAAATTACTTAAATCTCTAAGCATATTGGAATCGAAACAGAGTTTTATTGATATGGAGTCTTTTTTTGTGTTAATGCAATGGACATCAAGTGAATGCTTCTTTTACTCTCATGATGGGTGATTATTGTGATGTCTTGAATTGTGAATCTTACAGTCGCTGGTTCAGACCTTATAAGGTGTAAATGTTAATATAATATGACATAAAGGTTCTGTCACATATTTTAGCGTATGTTTTGTCGTTTTCAATACTAACGACTTGTGACGTATGTGCTTACGGATGGAATAATTGACTCTCGGTGGAGTGTCTTAAGGCTTATTTATACTTTGGAACATCAGAATTCTGGACGGATTTATGCCAAACAATTTGTAGATTCTTTTTAATACTAAAATATTTATCTTTTTATTTTCGCCTGTCTTAAATATTTAGATAAATGATAATTCTTTTTCTTTCCAATTATAGTATCTCAGTATATGCCAGTTTATTGCGTATGTCAAACAAACTACAATTTTTTATTATTTACCACAGCAGTAGACTACTCGATTTGATCATCAAATGTTATCTAATATACATATGCGTGGTGGCTGGCATCTTGAAGAAGTCATAAAATATTTTTACGAGACCTAAATCCTTGTCCAAGGACCTTTTTCATACTGTATTAGTCAGCAGCACTCTAGATTATGAGGAGTTTAGCCATTTTTTATTTCATATCTTTAGCACGACGTATTAATTGTTAAGATAAATCATTGTTTATGTGGGTACAGTCATTATTATCAGAAGAACTATCCATAACCTTTAACGATAATCTTGCTAATTTATTAATACTGTTGCAACTCCATCAAGATATTTTTAAATGGAGTAAATGATTTAAAAAAAGTACGTAATTTTAATGGAATCGGAAAAATAAGCAGACCCTTTGTGTCATTTCTCTAATTGGATTTAAACCATAATATGTAGAAACAAAAATTCAAAATAGATTTCGAAAATTACACATTTTGTGGTAATTCTATTACGTTATGGTCTAACTATTCATCATTTGTCGAAGAGTAAATTATAAATGATCAATCAATCAAAGTAACTTAAGAATATAAATTGTTTAAAACTGAGACCTTAAGTCATCCGTCTTTCCTTATAGCCATTGTAAAAGTGAAAACTGAAAGCGATTAATGTTTTGTTTCATAACACGACAATAAGTAATGAAAATTGCATGTATAAATCTCAGTGAATGCTAATTTAAGAGCGTTTCTTTAGAAATGATAAGCTGCACATTATTTTAATTATGCTATTTTAGTACAATTTTGTTGAATACTCTATTTCAAAAACATTTATTAGGAAAATTCTAACGAGGCAAAATTAGTAGCAAATTCTATGATATATGATCATCAAATAAAGACTCTTCAAAGTTTGGATCGTACTTAAAATAAATGCATCCACTCCAGAATCTTTTCCGATTTTGATGAGCATTATTTTTAGCTTTTGTGGATAGTATGAAATATCTTGGAAGTAGGTGCAAACATCACGGAAGATCCGTAGGGCGTCCAACAGAATCATGCGTTAGATCTTCGGTAGGGTGTCCAAAATTAAATGTTATATCACATATTTGTCAATTTTACCTTCCGCGAACTATAATACCGACTGATATTTCATTCAGTAAAAACTAATCTTCAAAAAGATATTCCGAGTACCTAATAAAAATATCTGTTTCTCAACTCTCATTTTTGACCTTAAATAACAACATGAGCTCACAGATACTCTTTTTTTAATGCAAACTGTATGTTATTGTGTTATACAAAAAAAAAAACAAGTGATGTATATTTTTGTTCGTAAATGCTTAAAAATCCACCAGCCTCCGGTATCCTCGTGAGACTGCACTGTATTGTGAATGCAATCAGAACAAATACAGTAAACAAGGGATGTACTTATAAAAGCCCACGAAGGCTTTGATCCCAATTCTTAAAATGTATTCACAGTGAAAACGCCTGCATTTAGAATGGATTTTTTTAAAGCAATTCTATTTTTACATCTGTTTACTAGGATGTAGAAGAATTCTGTACGAGAATAATATTAAAGAGGATTATTACCTCCATTTATTACACTTTACACACTTTATTTATTTTGCAGAAAAATTACTTATATATACAGAGCTTTTCAACTTTTAAATCGTTTTTGTCACCGTTTGTATTCCGTTTTGTTGTGTCCAGGAATTTGATTAATTAGTTTGTAAAGTAATTTATTACTATTTCCCTACGTCCATTAGTTCTGACACCGCAAACAAAACTAACGACCCTTGTACACAAGAAATTAAATGTCAAATTGAATTGATCCGTACCGAACTGACAGATGGTGGTATAGAGGTAATTTAAATAATACAATTGGACGTGGTTATTCGGTTTTGTTTTCGTGACTGAACAAACTCTGTTTGCGGTTGAACAAATTCTATAGATTAATTAAATTTTAAACAAATAACATATACCTTTTGTTTTACAGAAGCATTAAATTCATATTTTATTCATTCAAACAAATGTCGGTCTTGTCGCTTTACATAAATTTGTTTGACAAAAAATATATTTTGTATTATTGAATTTTATATAAGCCAAGGTCGGGTTTGACAAATATTGGTAATACAATTCTGTATCAATTGTCAATGATATATACAGCAGTGATCGAATTTTATTTATTATGGACGACCTTAATCATATTCCTCGGTTTCACGATCAGTACAGTAGACATTTACTCAATACTAATTTACCTCGGAAAACTTTCCCGCTCTCGATTTGTAAATTATATAAGTTAGAGCAGGATAGATGACGAAATAATTCACGATATTTCAATTGCAGCTGCGTTATACATTTATTTTTTCTCGCTCAAACCGAATATTAAATTTGTGTTTACTTACAATACTTATTCGTTTTTATATCTATTATTTATTATATGTTATTACTAATATAACAAGTGGGATGGCGATTCCTTTTTATGTTTGCATAATGCATTTAATGATTTCTTACTCAAATGAAACCCGAGAGCTCTGCCATTCAGTGATTTTACTATCTCAATTTTCATAAATTTCTAGTAAAATAACTTTAAAATATTATATGTTTTTATATATCTGCCGCTGCATAATAAACGCTCGCTTTTATGTTTTGCATTTTGCTCGTTATATTTAAATTATTATGGTTAAAGTTACGTGGATATATAAGAACAATTTACTTCGTATTTATGGATACTAACGTATCGTATCAGTATACTAACGTATTGTTATGGCGTTGTGCGTGCGCTTAACTATAATTCTTACCGGTTTTATGACTTCGTTTTCCGTTGAACAAGAAAATCGAGTGAACGTTTTTGTACCATATGATATAAAAACCTTCGTACTAAAACAGACGGAAGTAAATCTTGTTTAAAAAAAAATATTTCTTTACATTGCAATGTTGATTTATATGCCGTGCGCTTTTGATGTTGGCTGCGCAGCGACTACTGTTTCTATCTATCTTATGTTTATTAAACTTGTCTTTTTCAAGATCAGAGGTTTTTGATAGTTTTTTCTTATCTTCTATTTTGTGAGTAAATACATGTTTTTATCTTTGGAAATTATATTAATTTTCGGAAGAACTAGTTACTGTAAAATTGGAACTAGATTATTATTTAGAATGTTCTCTTATTTATCAGACAACTTTACGATAAATCATTTAGGCTTTAGTTGACTTCCGGTGGCTTGGTAGCTGTGAGTGAGGTCTTCAGACACTACCTCGCACCGCTATAAGTGGAGTTTTTGTAATAGTGTATAGAAATATTATAGAAAAATGGAGGACTATTAATTCCACTAAAGTAACTCTGTCCTTAAAAGTAAACAGCAACTTTAAGGGAAGACTAGAAAATATCTGAAAATAAAACAATTCAATCATTTTAAATGGCTCTTAAATTCAATATAGTTGAAGAGTATCCTAGTAACAGGTTTAAAAAGTCGTAATTAAACAGAAGATGATTTAATAATAATACCATTTTGCTGGAACATTAACCCAGCGAATGTTCATAGGCGTTTGTGTCATTTTTACTTTTAGAAATATTTATAATACAGACGTTAGGTGCTCTTAAAATAGCAATTTACGGACGTCAGTTTATTCAGTTCGAGACGCCTCGAGTCGTGAAAAGAGAAAACAAAAAATGAAACGATAATACTCCTTTATGACATGCCATTAAACAATGACAGTACCAGGTTGAGCTCCTCCTGCCTATTACGGAAACCGTTTGCGACATCCTTAAGCCTTGAGTTTTTTTCGCATAAACTTTTTACAGGTACCTCATGTCATATTCTAAAAGAGTCATCATAAAGGATTTTTACACTGACGCCGGTGAAAGCCAACGCAGAGTGTTACGTGCAGACATCATGGAGTATGTATGTGCGGGCACCGATACTACCTAGTACTAGTACAGATATGTACATATATTCATGGGAAACAATAAAAAATGTCTCCTACCTGACTCGACTACTTTTCGAGCAGTTTCTACGCTAGGTGGCAATAGTTATGAAGAAAGAACGGAATGGTTAGACTTGTGCATTTGAAAGCACATTCTATAATAATATGTCGTGTCTTTGCTAAAAAAAATATTTTATTCAGAGCGCCATCTCGTGTTACAAAATGAAACTGAAAATAATGAGCCTTGGTGCTGCTTTCTTCTTTTTGTAATGTTTTCATTATTTAACAATTTAAACTTTATACTTTTATATACGTGTGTAACCAATATCTGCCAATTCAAATTTTGTTACTTGTAATTTATATTGTAAGAGAACTTGTCATTTTTATAACGGCATCAATAATA